AATGCAATCATTGCCAGACCATCGTCGGCGCCGCCTTCCTGTTAGATCCACTTAGTATCCCGAGTGGTGTGTCAACACAAGTCCACATTACTTACCTTCATATCCTGGCTAAGCTCTTTGAGATACTCTTTGAAAACCTCACCAACTCGTGTTCAGATAGTGGTCCGCCCAGGAATATCTTTCTCATGCAGCTCAGAGTGAAGCAAAAGAAAGATATTGCGAAGCTGTAGATTTTCAATGGCGCGTAAAGGCTGCAAATATTTATTCAGATTTAAAGCACAATAAAATGTAAATTTAAAGCACACCTGATCGTCAGCAACAATCCACTCAGTAATGTGATCCACAAATAGCTCCTTGGTGAACTGTGGCCGGCTGTTATCTGCTTGTGCAACGTCTGGTTGTCCATGTTGACATCGCCTCCAGGCTTCGACTTGTGCCGTAGCACACTTTGCTGTGATTTTGACTTGTGCCTTATCACACGCCTCCACCCACTCATTAAGATGAGCATCTCAGAAGTGCTTTCGGGGGTTGTCTGTGCCTGCAGTAGTCCAGGTGGACACATGGTGATGAGGATTCTGTTCATGCATAAATCTGGAGAGTTTTTCTTAGAAATAAGTGCAAAGAAATAGCTGAAAGAAATTCATACAAGCAAAACTTGCATTTCTTGTGTTCATTCTCATCTGTCTTGATGAAGGGCCAGACATCCTTAGCCTGCTTGCCTTGTCTATTGCCTGCAGGCCCATGAGGCGATTTCTGACGCTGACCGGCAACAGGTGAATTGGGAGGGCCTGCTGGCTTGCGAGTTGAGGTGGCAGAAGTAGGCAGAAGATCACGTGAAGAGCCTGCAGCTGGTGTTGGACTAGTAGGCAAGTTTTCAGAGTTATCTGCAATATCAATATTGATGTATTCATGACTATCAGCAACTGGAACAGATCTACAAAGATCCAAACATTAGAGCATAGCAATTTGCAGTATTGGTCACCACACACTTGTTTATCGAGCTCTCCCCACTTGGATTGTGCTGGTGATTGGCACGACCTCTCCGGAGCAACGCAAATGCTATGAGCACACCCTTTGGTGCATGTTTGATTAATCATGTGGCAGTAACTACTACGGTGTGCAATGTATTACTTACTAGTAACTGAGCTAGCAACCGCGTAGGGCCTGTAGAGCCTCTCCAGCACCTCTCGGCATGCTATATATAGTGTTTCCATCAATTGGAATTGAAATATAGACCACATTTGGGAGACATGCCATAACATACCACTTTGGGTGCTTGGTTTTGTTTTATGATATAGAAAGGTGGAGAACATATGTTTGAACATATTTGCTATACTAAACATATGTCCAAAACCAATATTGAGCCTGCTATTCACAAAATACTCGCCAAGAGTCGAGTTTTTGCGGATTTAGCGCGGACTTAAGCCCCATCAGCTCTATCAAGTACCACCAAGCTGCTACCCGGCTATCTGGCTCCTTACATCAATTTCGCTTTTGGGGGCCATTCTTGGCTCAATTCCTCCCCTCCCCTTTGTCCAATGAACTCCAAACCTTCTAGCATATGTACCTACCTATGTAGAGTAGCTATGTGCAGTATAGAGTGAATATAACCGCTGTATAATATACTATACTTTTGTTTCTATTAAAAATCGATTTCTTTGGGCCTGAAAGTAGCAGAAAACCCTTTGCAAAGCTCCTACAGCTCTTCTAATGTTCTACACTCATGATGGATGGCACTAGAACCCTTCCCAAGGATGTGGAGAGCCTGAGGCATCCACAAACTCTCTGTAGAGCCTGCGAGGCTTGGTAAATAAAATGACACATATCAGATGTTTTCATATACTGGAAGGTGTCGCTTTTAGCCCAGGATAAGACAGCTATGATTTATTTTCGATTCCAGGCCTTGGAAGCCGTCCGATTAAGCAGATCTTAGTGTTTTCTATGGGCGCCTATTCGCTGATCTCGTCGAAAACACCTCCTACTGGCTCAACCACTTAGAATCGGACGAGCGGACCGTTTCTAATCGATTTCCAGCCTATCAAAACGGTGGTATACAACTTTATATGTCCAGGGGACAAGTATTGGTGGAGCAGTGCATCAGTTAACCCCGGAGTGACACCTTGATGAAGTTCTGACCAGTTCAAAACCACCATCTGTGCACAGGTGTGTGCCTGACTCCTACAGCATAGGTGGGAAGGGAATCACCACCTGGGAGGGTCAGAATATGTCAGAATACTGTGTATGTAGCTGCATTTAGCTTATCTCTGCCTGTGGGCTTCTGTACATCTGCATATGTGGTGTTTTTAAGCTCTGTTTGCATACCCATGTTGTTGAGTGTAGGTTAGCCCTTTCCCAGTGTGATAAGGCTCCACAGAGCTGTATATATTATTTACTAGTGCTAGGGCATCTGCACAACCATTTGTACCTAGCTACATTCATTGCTAAAGGCTGAGAACAGTGTCCAAGCTATCATGAGTGCAATAAGAGTTCTGACCTCCTGCCTGCATCTTTGCATGTTATTCTGGCCTCTAAATTGCTTCCCCATGCTTGCATAACATGTATAGATATGTGATGTGGACTTGCGTCAACACACCACGAGGGATACTCGGTGGATCTAATCAAAAGGCGTCGCCGACGAGGTCTGGCGACTGTGCGTTAGCTTATTCAGCTAGCCCAATTAACCAAGGTTGTATTAGTAACTGTACTACGATACAAACGAAGGCTTACCTAGCCCAATTAACCAAGAGGTTGAGATGGGGCTAGGTAGCGACAAAGGGGGCCCTTTTATACTACTCAGGTTGCGCACGGACCAGGCGTTACATAAGCGACTGTGCTACGGCGGCTGCTGGCGTTTCAGGGGACTTTGATGGAGAAGCGAGGGCCGGCGTGTCATATCTGATGACGTTGTCGGGCCGACGGGGATAGGATGTCCGTTGCCGATCGGACTCGGAGATAGACGGGGGCCGGTGTGTCATGGCGTATGACGTTGTCGGGCCGACAGGGATCAGATGTCTGGTGGAGATCGGAATGCGGCTATTACCGGGGAAGCGTGATGTGGCGGCGGGGCGGCGACGATACAGGCGCGTTTGATGCGCTGATGCGTGCCCGTCGG